GGGGCAGTTTCCTCTCCTCCCTCCCTCCCTCCGCTCCCCTCTCCCTTTCTCCTTCTCTCTCGCTCTTAATTTTTTTTAATGCAATTTCTCCAACTCCACCTTTGTTGTGCTGGGCGTCATTCCCCGCAGCCAATCCCGGCCGGGCAGCTGCCTGCAAGGGGCAGTTTCCTCTCCTCCCTCCCTCCCTCCGCTCCCCTCTCCCTTTCTCCTTCTCTCTCGCTCTTAATTTTTTTTAATGCAATTTCTCCAACTCCACCTTTGTTGTGCTGGGCGTCATTCCCCGCAGCCAATCCCGGCCGGGCAGCTGCCTGCAAATTACCGGCCATCCCGAGCTGCCTGCAAATTCCGGGCCATCCCAGGCTGCCTGCTCGCTCCCGGCCACCCCGGTTCCGCCACCGTCTTCCTGGTTATCCCGGGCCTCCCGCTGCCCATCCCAGCCACCTCGGGCCCCTGCGCGCTTCATCCAGCCCCGTGCTCCGGCAGCTCCGCTGGCAGCTCCCACCAGCACCTGCCCAAGGGCATGGGCAGGGGGGCTGCTGGGGACCCCCATACTCAATGGGGAGCAGCGAGCCCGGCCCTGCCAGCACCACCAAAACGCCGGCAGGAGCCTCCGTGGGAAAGGCAGCCAAAAAATCCGGAGGGTTTTCCGCACTGTTTAGGGACAAAGTGGCCCCAAGCGCAGGTGCCAGCGGCCCCGCGTCTGACGCAAGCGGCTCTCGGGCCCGGCGAAAGTGGGGGGGGCTGCCGGCAGGAGCCGGGCCTGCTCTGCAGCCGCCGCCGCGTGCCAGGCGCTGCCGGGGCTAATCCCTTTGGCCGCAGATTAAAAAATATATGTATATATTTATCCTGCCTGGAAAGGGCTGCTTTGCTGAGCTGGTTTTCCTGTTCTAAATTAGGTGAAATGTCGCTGTTTTGCAAGAGGGAAAAAAATTGAAAGTAAAAATATGTAGACATGATCAAACCAAACATTTCAGTGTGGACATTTTTAATCTTTATTTTTTTATTTTTTTTCTAAGACTTATTTGAGTGGAAAGCGGCTTCCAGAAAGCCTAGCAGGTGCTTCCCCTCAATCATATCTATAATTCCCCCTTTCATTTTATTTCCAAAGCTCTCTCCCCACCCCAGGCTGGTGGTGCTACCCAGTCAAACACCCATTTAGGATTGGGGCCTCCCCAAGCAGCCCTGGTCACCACACTGCTGCTACCAAGCAGCCAGCACAGATGGAAGGCCTGAAATATGAATATTTTCTTTTTTTTTTTCCCTACCCAAAAGCAAAACTGCAGCATAAGAACAGTCCATAAAAACAAGCAGGGGCTTGGCAGAAATGAAGAGGCTTCCCAAAAATGCCCCAAAACATTTCCCAGCACGCTCCTCTGCTCCGGAAATCTTCCTGCTTGCAAAGGGATTATTTTTTAATGGCTATTATTTTTCCCCGGGAGGATTTTTGCGAATAAAAGTGCAAGGATTGCACACTGGGCACAGCAGGGCCGGCACAGCTCTGGAAAAGCTGGGGGCTGGGGACCCAGGGGGTGCCCCATGGAGAGACCCAGGGCAGCTCCCCCTTCTTTTGCCGCCCTATTTATAGGGCCGGGCAGGTGGCCGGTCGCTGCTGCTAATGAGATTACGAGTAATCAGGGTGAATTTGGGGCTGGAAGGGTCTGTGGTGGGGCCTGGGTGCTGCTTTGCAGCTTGGGCTGGCGTTGCTGTCACCGCACCGAGGCTGCAGTGAGACCCACAGTGCCACCTCACC